TGTTTGTGATGTGTGTGTCCTGTGATGGGTTGATGCCCCATCCTGGGTTGTTCCCTGCCTTGTACCCTGTGATGGGTTGATGCCCCATCCTGGGTTGTTCCCTGCCTTGTACATGTAGCTTCTGGGATAGGCTCCGGGCACCCATGACCCCAAACAGGACCAGCGGGTACAGAAGATGGATGGATGGGTAATAAATTATTACTGAATGATTCTCCATATCCAATTTAAGTGCTAATTGCCTAGGCAATGAAATGAGGGATCCTCATTTTCACAAATAAACATCAGTATGCAGGAGTTGCCTGCTTCCCTTCAGCGGTACAGAGGCACTAATTAAATAACGACATGCACAGTGTGTTCTCATCTCAATGGCTCAGTGGAGATTAAACCTCACATCTGACCAGTGCTGAGCTGTTTTCACGGCTGGCTCCTGGCTGTATATCAGTCACAACCCATTTTCCTAATATTTATTTCCTTTCCATTGCTATTATTTCATCTGTCTTTTTCACTTCAGTTACAGTTTGTGTTATTGAGGGTGATGGGGGTCCAGAGCCCAGTCCTAATTTAAAACACCTGATACAGATAATCAGGCCCTTCTTTAGCATCTCAGTAGCTATGATGATGCTAAGCTGGCTGTAATACTGAGATGCTACAGAAGGGTCTGATTATCTGTATCTGATTCTCGGGCTGCAGCTACGCTCTGCAGGGCAGCAGATCTCCAGGAGCAGGGCTGGGCAGAGGTCAGGCACCAGCTACCCATTTCAGTAGCGTTCTATGCCTTATTCAAGACCTATTACATTTAATATTTCTATTTCAGTTATACTTTAATTCTGAACTAACCAAAGTGTTTTATACCAAATTTGTGGTGTGTTTCATGTCCTGCATCCCTGCTCCTCTTGTTCTCTCTCTAGTCTGGCTCTAAGGGCTCACACCTGTTGTTTGTTTGGTCTTATCTCTCGTTATCGCCCTCTTGTGGATCACCCCAGGTGCCACTCGTCTGCTCCGACATGCGCCTTTTATAAAATGTCTTTCAGTCCTGCACTCCACACCCTGGTCATTGATGTTGCCCTACTGTATGTTCCAGTGCTTCGCCTTTTGTTTGACCACATGTGGTCTGCCTTTTGTTTGCCCTGTTCCCATGTCCTCAATAAACCACTTAATGTTCTGCCCTCATGCTTGCCCCAATCTCCTTCGTGTCAGAACGTGACAGTGTGTGTGTGTGTGTGTCATGTATTAATTATATTGTGGGGGCCAAATATCCGCGAAATGTGATAAAAAAAAATCTGTTATTTTGTCATCGTGAGGACACCTTTTCAGGTCCCACAAGGGGAAACCCAATTTTATAAAAATCTGTGACTGCAATCAAAAAACTAAAAATGTCAAAAGTCTTGTATTTTGTTTGGTTACTTATGGTTAAGGTTGGGGCTGGGTTTAATGTTGTCATTGTTAGGATTAGGGTTTTCCCATACAAAATAATGGACCGTCCCCGCGAAAATATGAACGTAAAGGCGCGCGCACGCGCGCGTGTGTTACTGATAAAGTAAATACGTCATTCAAGACCGTTTTTCCCGAAGAGATCACAGGCCGGATGAAAACGAAGCAATGCAGTGCTGAAGTCTTCGCGTCTTTTGGACAGGCGGCTGAAATAAACTGTTCTTCTAAGCCGGTAAATCCTAATGCCCGAAAGCATCTGCTTTGAATGAGGCGTATTAATGTCGGGCGATTTAAAAAAATTATAGCGTCTGTTTTTAACATTAATAGTATATTGTTTTTAACATTAACATCATCAGGCTTGTCTAATGTAAATTTAATCGATGTGAATGAATTATGATTTAAATAGTTATTTACCGTTACGTATTCAGAAAGGTACAGTAGGCTACTTGAGACGATACGTCTTTTGGTGTATGGATATTTGATATATGCATATAGGCTAATGTAGTAAATAGATTTATCGTTTGCAGATTACAGGTAGCATATTGTCCAAACGTTTCAGGATTTATATTAGAAACACGCAGAAGCATTTATATTTCATAAAACTAATTTGCAATCTGCTTGAAATCCCACAGGAGTTTCAGAGGAGTCGTCAGTGAGGATGATGCCTGTGTTATTCGGCAACTTGCAGTAACATTTGAATGGATAAGAAGGGGGAAATAATAGCGATTGCAAGTAACGGAAAAAAAATATTGTTAAAGAATATTAGGGACTATAACGGTAATATAGGGTGACGTAAGCTGGGGAAGTAGACGATAAAAAAGAGGACTTTTGGGACGACGCAACTGCATACTTAACAGAGGCGTTGCTTATAGTCTTCACTCTACATCGATCTTTTCCCCAGACTCATCTGCTCCAGTTTTTTAGTCCAGAAAAGCCCTGGGATCGAGATGCCGAAATTCCAGAATTCCAGCAAACCCGGCTCCGGTCCACATTACGTGTGGGAATATGAATATTACGACGATGATGAGCCAGTGTCATTCGACAACCTCACAGCGCACAGATGTATGTCCTGTGGTAACTACTTATTTTTATATGTACGTATTGTTGTTGTTTCCGGTCTTGTCTGAGTCTTTGTCCGTAGCACACACATATCTGTGTACCATCCTTTTTGTATCAATGTCGAATAGAGATTATTTAAAGTTCTTTGTGGGTAAAAGTGTACGTGATTTATGTAATTCATTTCAGATGGTTTTACCCGTTTAGAATAGAACAATAGCAATGTCCAGGACTTCAAAAAATTGTTCTTTTCAGTGAATCGGTCAAACTGGTTTTCAAATTTAAAAGAATCAAACTTTTTGCACAGCCATGTATTGCACAGATCAAAGTCTTAGATTGTAAAAATCTATAAATATTTGAGAAATTATAATATAAAAACACACAGTGACCTTTTCAGATTCACTTACATCCCAGAGGGCATCATGTTATTGTTTCAATGTTGAATTATAGTTAATTGCGTTGAATTATGGTCAGTGTTAAATTATCAACGTTGAAACTGAATTTATTTTTGGTCAGATTTTCAATATTGAAAAATTGATGGTGGCAAAACCTTGATTCAATGTTCATATAAAGTGAAAGAAGATTGAAGATCATCGTTGTTTCAACCTTGTCTGGTATGGAATCAATGTCATTTCAACATGTGTGTGCTATCTGGAATATGCTCTTCATAGACTCCCCAGAGCGATGTTGCCTTCAGTGCCTCTCCTAATCCTTTGCATGTATACTGTGTTCATGCTCAGACGCATGGTGGCTTTGACTCACTACTCCTGACCCTTGGCAATCGACAAGTTAGCTAGTTCAGCACATTCAGTTGAGGCGATTACTAGGGAGTTTTTGTGAGACTCATAAGATCTATGGGAGATGTCTATGATATTATTTATTAATGTGTGATTATTTCTTATTTAAAATGCATATTATTACATCATCGGCCACTGGTATCACTTTTTTAAATTATTTAATTCATTTTCTTTGGCATAAGTTACAAAGTTTTGGAGTCACATTTGTTACGGAGCAGTGCATGGTGTGGGCAGGAAAAGGTGATGATAAACAAGGGGTTATCAATTTAAACAAAGACCACTGGGGAAAAAACTCAAAATAACAGGACCATGAGGCTTCAAAACAAAAACAGGAAAAAGAACATATTACTAAACCATGACTAAACACTAGGGAAACCAAGCAGAGCAACATTAGCACAGACACCTGATACAGTGACTCACTGAAGAACAGAGCAGGGCAGGCAATTAAATACACATCGAAAACTTGGCCAGACAAGGAACAGGTGTAAGACATAATCAATTAACTAATCAACACAGGGCGCATGACGGCAACAGAACAATCAACAAGCACTTTCACAAGAAAACTGGCAACAGGTGGAACTAATAACAATTAAACAGAAAATGTGGAGCTTTACAAATAGCGAAAACTGGAAAACATTAGCTGGGAATAAAACACTAGGAATAGAACGGCAGGATAATTAAACAGAACCAGACAGGAACGGAACAGAGAAGCAAACAAGCAGAGAAAACCTAGGACAAGAAAACTAATATAGAAAATAAATATTGGGAAAAACAAAAACTAATAAACGAACCAAACAGGTGACGCTGACCTCAATCCCAGGTGTACAGGGTTATAGCCTCTGTGCCAGGCACGGAACCCCCCCTAAGCTACAGTATGCAGCAGTACAAAGAGTAGGGCAATACATAAGGGTTAGACAAGGGAGTGAAAGGCGGGATGGTCGGCGACATCTGCTGGCCAGACAGGGTGGAGCCGTAAAGGATAGGGTCGGACGGATGCTTTCCTTAAACCTATTTTTCCTATTGGGTATATGTGTTTTAGTACACGATTTTAGTGAACGTGAGGTTCACAGTCATGTTGCAGCAGGACTGACTGTAACGTGACTTAACATTAAACCTTATTTAGTTTGTGCTTTTGGGGACAGTATGTATTTCAGTGGGCTAACCCTTTGTGCTTTTGATCAGGAAGTCACTTGTTCAAACCTGGCTTTGGCAGAAGAGTCACATGTCTGTGGGCCCTTGAGCACGGCCCTTAACCCCCAGCAGTCACCTACTGTACATGTGTCATGGAGTCAGACCTTGAGTTGCAGTTGCCTAGCAGATCTTTCCCTTGAAGCAGAACTTGGGGGCTGTTGCACAGGCACCTTTCCCCCTCTGGTATTTACTCCCTGTGGTCCTGCACAGTGGTTGGGAGCCACTCGCGGATCTGTCTGACACACGATCCCACTCCTCTGGAGCTCCAGCTAATAAAAGGGTAAGACCATTCACATCTGAGGCATACCTCTGTTCTGATTTTTCTGGATAGCACTGGCCAGTCACAGTCCTTCATGTCTTTGTCCTGCTGAGTTTGAGCATGTCTGTGTGGTCATCTGGATGCAGACAGGATGCACCTAGACTAACACGGCCAATGCTTTTGTTGCAGATTCAGTTGTGATTGGCTTCTGGGTGGGCTTGGCTCTTTTCGTCATCTTCATGTTCTTTGTCCTGACTCTCCTCACCAAGACGGGACCCCCACACCAAGAGTAAGATTTCTCCATCATTATTCAAGCTATGATCACAGTTGACTTGCCTTGAAAACAAATTGAGTAATTAAGCCTTCTAATCAGCAAAGGTATATACCAGAGCTATTCAAATCACGGTCCTCGAGGTCTGAGCACTGCTGATTTTGCAGCCTTCCTTTACCTGTGAGCCAGGTGTGAAGCCTCTGACCAATCAGAATCAGTAATTATTAAACTAACTACCTGGGAGAATTGAAACACTATGACACACACACACACACACACACACAGGACTCTGGTACTTCAAACTGTGGTAATGTGTCCCTGAGCACCATGTTCAGAATTTTGTTAGTTAATTAGTTGCCATTTACACATCAAAGACACACATATCAAACTGAGACAGCACATGCATAATATACACACACGCTCCTCTATTTACGAACTTTCAGACATACAAACGAAGAGGACTGTAAGTCCACATAGTGTTCATTGGGCTCCCATTTCCTGTCCGCAACATCAATTTTTTTTTCTGTGCACTAATTCCGCCTAGTGCGACTTCTGGCCGCTACTCCCAGTAGCGTGCGTACTCCCAGTAGCGTGCGTACTCCCAGTAGCGTGCGTACTCCCAGTAGCGTGCGTACTCCCAGTAGCATGCGTACTCCCAGCATCCAAGTTCTTTGTACTTGCGTATACCCATAAATGATGTTGAATGACGACTTACGAACATTTCAAGTTACGAATGGCCATTCAGAACGTATCTCATTAGTAAGTAGAGGACCGTCTGTGTGTGTATGTGTGTGTATGTATATATATATATATATATATATACACACACACACACAGACCAGGCCTTTAACAGAGAGGTGTGTATGTATATATATATATATATATATATATATATATATATATATATATATATATATATATATATATATAAATATAATGGACCTTTCTGCTTTCCTTTTTGAACAACTAATCATGTTCTCTGCATAGATTTTTTTGTCACCAAAGGGTCTTGCTCCACAGTAGTGACTCTATAAAGGCTGGGACAAACTTTTGACAAAGGATGGGGTTTCAGTTGTGAAACTATTTACTAGAAATGTAGGAATTAGAAATGTACTTTTAGCACATGGTAGGAAAAGACTTTGGAGTGATTTCTGTTCATTTTTACCATCCATCCATCCATCCATCCATTTTCTGAAACTGCTTAATCGCAACTGGGGTCGCGGGGGGACCGGAGCCTATCCAGGAAAAATGGCCGCAGATGGGAAGCAACCCTGGGCAGTCGCCAACACACTCACTCATTTCATATAGTCACCAAGTGCCACCCAGTGGAGGTTAGATTGCTTTGCAATAATATCTCGTCTTATATTTATTTAGTACACGCTTTAATGAAAAGTAATTTAGAATTGAAAAAGTAATGTCAGCCACTCCTTGGAGCAACTGGGATTAATGGCCTAACTGCTTTCTGCAACATGCAGTAGCCCGAAAATTGCTTCTTCGCTTTGCCTTTATTCATTGTCATTGATCTTTTCTCCTTGATTCATGCCCCCCCTCAGTTCTTTGCTTGTTTCCACCACAGGAACCAGGATGCATTTGATAGGCATTGCCGTCCATCCAGCTGCATGGTGGACTTCAGACATCCACAGGCCTCAGACAACAAGGCCTGCTCCCAGCCTCTGCTGGATGAATCTCATTCCCTCATCCACTGTTTCATTCATGAGGAGGAGACAGGCAGGACGGGTGAGGGCCAAGGCCAGTGGAGAGAAGCAAAACAATGCGCCTGCAGTGGGTTACAGCAGGCCCAGGCGAAGTGCAAGGTCGAGCGGGACACAAGCTTCCCGACTCACTGCAACATCCCCAACTTTGTGAACTCGGAGTACAGCTCAGCTCTGGGGGACGATGACTTACTGCTGTGCGATCAACCAGTTCCCCTGGACAGTAACTCCCTGTCGTCCAACAACTATCACCGTACCATGTAAATAACATATGGCTGTATGTGGGGATGTGGTAAAATCCTGATATTGATACATACCGATGAGGAGAGGGGGCGTCATGTGACCATGGGGATCAAGGGTACCTTCTGAACTTTTGTTCTGTTTTACTTCGGGGCACCTGGATCAGACCCAGCCCTGCTGTTTTTTGTGGACTGTTCTGCTATGCTGATCCATCTGCACTACTGCTGTGTTTCCTTGAAAACAATTTAAAATAAATCTTTCAGTCATTGTGTCACACTTCTCTCTCTTATTTGATACAACTCAAATGAATCTGGGACCAGGTCCTTGTCTGGAATCTGCAAATTACAGTGGTAGTAATATTAGTGGCACTTAGAAGATTTTGCAAACTTAAAACTGTTAGTTGATACACTTGAATTTTAAAGAAACCTTGAAATATCACAAAAGATTTTATGTTTACTTTAGGTGGTTTTTGCGGTGAGTTGAAAAAGAAGTAATTCGCAAAACTGCAATGAATTTGTGAATCAGTATATTAACTCTAGCTAATGGGTCTTATTGAAGGAAATGAAAACACTTATTTTATGATGGAATTTATTGACAGCTCCTTGCTAACACCCTTTCAAGTGGCTCAGATAGGTGTCATTTTGGTTTGGGGGAAGAAATGATGCCGCAAATAAAGGGGGTCAACAATTTCCGCAGCATTTAGGGGTGACACTTAAAAACGCATGTGCTCCACGACAGAACATCACACCAGTATGACACATACTATTTACAACACAAATGCACGAATACATAAACTGATTTACAAGGCCAATCTCTTATACAAGTAGTCTGAATAGGTAAGTCCACAAACAGCCACCACAGCATCACAATATAGAGTTATTTATGGTAATTCTGTGCATAGTGCTGTATTTAAAACAATGACAACTGAATTTATATTATTCATGGGACATAAATTATTGCTATACAAAAATAATACTTTCCAAATTCATGTAGTAATTGCTGAGTAAATGTGGTGGTTCAGGGTGATTATATTTTGGCTAATTACTATATTTGCAAAGGGTGTATTATATGCATTAGACTTATCAGCAAACTGTAAGAACCCCGTCTCATTTCACATGCTATAACTTTCCTCAGTGTTAAGACAATTATTGATCTTGACCCAGAGATCTCTAATGGGAAGCGATAGATTTTTAACTGATCATTTATAGCTGGCAAACACTTGCTGTTGCATGTGGGACCTATCTTTACTTAAACACAGCTTAGCCAATGTAGGGAAAACTTCTACAGAAACAAAAGAAGCTTTATAGAGGGAAAAAATCATTCCAAACCTATGGGAATAATACACCTATTATTACTGGTTGCTCTGATGGCTACTGTTGTTGTGGCAGATCGGCTCCTCTCGATGGTATCCGATGTCACTCCTTTCAACAAGCGTATTATGAGTCTCAGATTAAGGTACTTTCTGGGTGTATTGTCAGTTGTTTCTCTGCATGCTCCGTTTGTCAGTGGAATCTGTGAGCAAGTCACATGCCATCTGTGGTCCAGCACCCCACGCCTTGCTTACATAGCAATCAAAGTGTCACACACATCCAAATCTGTTCCTTGGAAAGTTGCAGTCAGGATGATGATGGAACGGTCCTTAAGAATGACAGTGCAGCTGTGACCCTCTGTTTTGGCTACTTTGAGCGGCTGTCCAGTTGTCCATGTTGGACATCTCTGGGTCCATGGATCTTGGAGCTGATCCTTCGATTAGTTGTGAACCATCCAATCTCACTGAGATTGCAAGGGTGGTGAACCAGCTCGGGGAAGGGAAGGCTGCAGAGATCTGTGGTATCCAGGAGTGAACTTCTGCAGGCTGCTGATAAGGCTATCCTCTTGGCATTGCAAACAATCATTGCTTCCATTTGGGAGACAAGTGTCATCCCAAATGAATGGAAAATGAGACTCGTTATCCATGCTTGGAAAGGGAGGATGATTGCCTGGATTGTAGCACCAACAGCGGGATAACACTGCTCTCAGTGCCAGCTAGACCAGGCCAAGGGGGTGCCCACATAACACCTGGCTGCAACAGATGGATGGGCACTTGTGAAGTGTGGGACTGAACCATGTATCGGTCTGGGGGTTTGCCAAGCAGGATCCTGTGCTGTCGTGTAGTGGGGGCATCAACACTTTGTACTAGTGCATGCTCCCCTACCTTGCCTGACCTGTCTATAACCCTTGTTGGGTAAGCTATTTAAAAATACCAGGAATCCATGCATACACTGTAGGTTTCTAGAACAAGGGTTCCAAAGCACTGTGTTGTAGTTTATGTCTTTTAAACATTCAAACTTAAACATAATTTCTGAATTCTATCCTTCAACTCAGTCACTCTGTAGGTTTTTTTCTGTTCAATTCTTTCCTGCAGTGACCAGCTCAAAGCATCTCCAGTGTAATGCATAAGAATGACCAGAGGGGGTGCAGTGTCTTCATGCATTGCTTTCACACCAGTATTACCTCATTCCTGAAACCAAACAGATGTTAGTGGCATACAATTGAGAATGATTATAGGAGGTGACAGACAATATTTAGTTATGAAAGATGTATAAATGGAAATGAGATTTATGTGTGTTAAGTATATTCAGTCGGTAAACAAGACAACACCATATAGCATTTTTAGGTGACATACTCTGAGCATTCACTGGAAGCTCACCCTATATGCAGTTATGCCTGGCGGACTCCTCAACAGCTGTATGTTAGTGATGTGCTATTTTTCCTCACTTTTATGTCACTTTGGACAGAAGCATCTGCTAGATGAAATTAACTGTACAAGTGGCAAATCCTGAGTCCATAGTGACCAACATACTTCTCTATGCTGTGGTCTTCTGGGGAAGCGGCATCAGTTCTGGCAACGCCAAGCACCTGAACAAACTCAGTATAAAAGCCATCTCTATCCTCCATCTCTCCATGAGAACCTGTTGGTCATCTCTGGCATTAAAATGTCACTTCTGGCCTTTACCTGGCTGGTTTCTGGTCGTTCCCAGCATCTCCTGCTCGACCTCATTCTTGTGTACTGTTGTCTTAGAAATTTTGAACCTGGAAGCAACCTGTTTCTCAGCTACAACACAAACTGCACACACACCACCAATAAACTTATTTATATACATTTATTTAATGAATAACACTGATTGCGCCAGGGGTGTCGTTAACCTAAACTGTGAAGTTCCCCCCAAATAAATGCTTACAATAAAAGTTAGGGATAACTTTTTATATGATATATAATAACATTGTATACAGTACATACTGTAATCAATCCAAAGGTAACATTCTCCAAATTCACGTTACTGGTGTTCTGTCATAACATCCTACCTATCGAGACGTGCTATCGAGCCTTTCTGCGCATGTGCAGTCTTGGGATTAGGGTTAGGTTTTAGGGGTTAGGGTTAAGATACGGGTTTTAGGGGTTTTGGGGGGTTAGGGTTAGGGTAAAAGTTAGGGTTAGGGCTATCGATTAGCACTATGGTAGGATGTTTTCATAAAGTAGGACGTTTTGTCAGAACACCGGCTATGTTTAGGACCAGGGGAAAGGGGTTGCACGTTAAACCAATATTTCAATTGCTTAGCAGAAAGTGTTGGGTTTTACTCGGCACAGGTTGCCGCGGGCGGGACTTCGGATGGAAATTGTAAAAGGAGAACGAAGATATATACTGAGACAACTTTTTAGCCAAATCGGGAAATTTATGAAGCGTCACCAAACTTGATAATGTGAAAAAGAAAAGTATATTTTAAGTACCCAATATAGTAACGCTATACTCAACACATTTGGCAGAACAGACCAATAATAATGCGAGTTTTTCATGTTACCTCAGGATGTCTCGCAATATCCTTTAAAAAATGACCCAAATTTTACACATACATTAAAGGGGGCATTCTGTCAGTAAAGAGAAACACTGTAAATAGGGTAAAAAGGCCACGCGCTCAGAATCCCCCGCCTCCACCTCACTCCTGTATGCAAAAGAATTTCTTTTATGCTGTTGTCTAAATGTGAAGCGTTTTGACTTGCATGTAACCCCCCACCCTTGCGCGTTGAACCGGTTCTACATGTAGACAGCCTCTGGAGTGAGTCTGTGTTGTCATTGTAACGGCACAGTACAAGGCCAGGGGCTGCTTATGCTATATGGTACATGATTATGCTAGTACTGCGATGGATATAAGTTGTTAGAGCTTCGGGATACAAAACGTACCACTAATAAATTAAAAGAACAATCAGTAGAGTAAAGCATCTTTTAATCCTGAAAGGCAAAAGTCTAATACAAACCAGAAATGCCCAAAAGATTTTTAAATACAATTCAGGTGTCTATAATGTCTAAACGTAAAAAAATCTATACTGATGATGCATCTTGAATCACATTTACAGTTATAACCAAAAGTAGACAAATAATCACCTATTTACACAGATGAATTATGTTTGAAAATTTAATGCATGCTTTTAGTCACTAAAGTGAAGCAGTGTTTAATTGCTGGTAGAAGAGTGTTGCATGTAAATGTACGGTAACCATGTGTAAACAGCTGAGTTATCCGCTTGGTACAAATTGCCATCTTCTATTTGCATTATAAATATGATTTCACTTGTTTTTGCCTGTTAAAGATAAAGTAGCTTCCCTCGAACGCGTCAAAGCCCAGGTTGAGAGTCAATCACCCAGCAATCAGACTGGGGATCCTCCAGAACAGCAACTCCGACAAGAAACTACAATAGCCTCTTCCTACAGATATGATACATGTAATATAAGTAATAATAGAATGTATTTATCATTCAGCCAATGTAAGATCTTAGTTCAACAACCGAATCAATAACATGTAAAAAATGGTTGTTGGTGTTCTTTATCCAAACAGATACTCTATGTACAGTACAGCGTTGTCATGTTGTCTTACATTAACTAGCATTTTTTATATATATTTTAGGAAACCCATGATATGTTTAAAGCGTTAAAAAGGTGTAATAATGTCTGTTATGTTTGAGGACCTTATCAGGTCCATTCGTGAAGATGTTTTGATTTGTGACGGCGTCCTACAAATAACTGGACTGCAACACCGAGGTTAAATTAGTTAGTTAAAGGCTTTTCAAGTTGTCCGCATATAGTCCGATGATGGTGTGACATTTACTCCGTTCTCATAATTTATTAAGAAAAGATACCGAGTGCACTAAAACATTAAAGCAAATGCCCATAAATTCGATAACCTACAGTAGCTGTGTTTACTGGCGAACGTTTACATATTTGCCCCAATATAGTTCTTATAATTATTCGCGCATGCATGCTTCTGTCCATTTTCTACACCCACTTGTCTTATGCAGGGTCGCCTGGGTCTGGAAAGGCAGCAAATTACCTATTTAATTGGAAATCAGAAATTATATTCATTTTATCATTGCAGGCATTTAGTGTAAAATCTGACCTATAATTCGTACCGCGCGCCACTCCCACGTAGTTCTTTTTTTCCCGCTTTGTTTACTGTAATCAAGAAGCGAGGCACTTGCTGAGACTCTCGAATAGGAAATCAGATGACGGAGTATTGTAATCCAGCTGGTCACCATTAAACGTCAACCTTTGTGGAGACGCCTTTCCATACTAATTATTTATTTACGAAGCCTCATATAATAGTCAAATGTGCTTCTGGCTGCTGTTGTGCGCAGGACAGAGACACATTAACGTAGTCGGCAATCCCTCTTTAACTGGAGAACTAAGTTACGTGTGAAAAAGGTAAACGACTCTGTTGGTCGATAGGAATTTATTTGCGCTTTTTATAACAATACTGGATTAAGAAAATTGGGATCCTCGGTCTGGTTTGGTAAGTATTCAGCGGCGTATTCTTAAACTAAATAAACGCAGAGAGTAGCTTGTAAACACACGCACGCACACACACATATATATGTATATGGAGACTGAGCGTTTTTGAAATGATAACAATATTCTGCCCTGATATTTTAATTTATGACAATGAAACATGCTAATCATTTACACATTGTATATCGTAAATGTTCTTGCATTCTTTTTTATAACACACATTGTGGAATTTTACTCTCTGTTTTTGCTCATTTGCAGTGCCCTTATCATGTATGTATTTTGATAATTAACAGACCACTGTCTTCTTATCTGTCAGGCACAAGAGCAGTGCTGGATCCTAGCTAGACCTTTAACTGCCAGAAGCAACAAGTAGTTTCTCAGTGTGGACCACACCCCCTTTTTATGTCAGACGCTTTACAATCCTGAACAGCAAGAAAATGAGGAAGCCGAGCCCTTAACAACCTCTGGTACTGGGAGTGTGAGTACAGGGATAGGTCTCTTGAGAGAAGAGCAGGTTTTTGAGGCCGGTGATGCAACTCACCTGAATGCCTTTTATTCCCACAGTGATATCCGTCTCTGCTTGGCAGACATACACCCCACCGTTCTTAGTTGTTTCCCAGATATTTCTCAACTCTGGAGCCTTTTCAACCCTCCCGGCTGGGAAAAACCCAGCTGACCACCAATGCACAAGAGACAGAGAAGAAAGCCAAGGGAAGAAGGAATTCATGGGGGAGGAGGTCACAGAAGAATTCTCTTGGGGACGCAGTCAGCCCTTCTGAAAGGAGTCCACCAAAGTCCCCTTCAGCCAAGCTGGGGAAAGCCGGGGTGAAGCCTGACTTGGACAAGGAGTCACCTGTTTTCGCTATACCTGTGTGTGTGAGTCCTTCAGATGGGGAGTCACCTCGTTCCTCTGTCTCTGAAAGTCCTATTTCAGAGAGCCCAGATCTGCTTGAATGGCACACAGAGGGTGCAGAGACCAAACCCCAGAGCCCCAGGGCATCAACTGGGGAGAAGTACCTTGCCAGGAAGGTCGCCGTGAGCTCAACTCTGAGTCCAGAGAGAAACATGCATGTGGGGATGAGTAAACTACAGAAAGGCTTCACAGATACAGCAAAGAAGATTTCCTTGAAGTCTGAGCCTCAACCGTAAGTCAGTTGTCATTTTTAGGAGAGTCAAATTTTTAAATTTATACTTATAATGATTGTATGTCTTCATGACTCTGTACTGGATAAGTGGTTGTAAGATGGATGGTGACTGTCTACTTGTCATTGCTTGTCAGGCAAAGATTAGTTTATGCTCATTAAATCGCAGACATATGAAATAATAATCAGACTTATTTTAAAGATGATGACTATTTGTCATACTTATGCATATTTATTAACTCATAAAAATGTATTATGATATATGAAAAAATGGGTTTTTTTTTAACAAAGTGAATGACAACATACTCCCTCTTTCATTCAGGCTTCCCGATCTGAAAAATGTGAACTTGAACATAAAGCGTGCAAACAGGATTGCAGATAAAATTAGTTTGTTTGAGAGACGGGCAACAGGTCAAGCCCAGAAGGCCAGTTGTGGCACACAAAGTAAGGATTCTCCCAGACCAATGGGGAGACTGTCAGTGAGGACTGCATGCAAGCCTCACTCAAAAAACGGTGAGGAGGTTGTGCATGGAACTCCTGCTCCAGACACTCACACTGCATCAGTGGTAGTGCCAGAACGCACTGACCGAACCAAAGATCCAAAGTATTCTACAAAACTAAGCACTAAGAGTGTAAAGGAACGGGCAAGGGACTTTACAGAAACATGGCGAAGTGAAAACAGAAGTAATATTGGGATACGTCACAATCCATACCATAAATATGCCCAGAAAGATACCTCTATGTCACACTTAAAATCAAGCAGTGGGGATGATGCTCCTTTAGGTCAAGATAACAAATCTAAGATGATGCCTGGACAACAGTCAGGAGCTGCTCTAAAAAATCAAAAAGTGTCAGCCACCACGGAACGTATCAAACTGAATAAAGGAGAGAGTAAGGAAGGAAATAACTCTATAAACCCAAGTTCTAAACTTAGCCTGGAGAAAGGCTGTGGAACTGGCAAAAGCGTGAAAGTTCTAACTAAAAAGACCTTTATAAGACCAAGTAGTGGTGGATCCTCAAATTCCTTTAACAAGGAGAGTAAAAAGGTTCAGTATGATAAGAACATCTTAATACCAAAAGATGAGTTACCTAAAACACCATCAGGAAACACTACAATCAAAGAGGAATCCAACAGTAGAACCTCAGAGTCTGATGTGAAGGACCTTAAAGGGAAAATAGAAAGCAAAGTGTCAGTGACTGAGAACGAATCACCTGCACCTCTTAAAAAGGAAACACAGGATGAGTCTGTGGAGAGAAAACTAGCAGAGGAAGCCAAGGATTTCCTACACACACCACTGAATGAAACGAAGCTGCCTTTACCAGTATCATTACAGGATGATGAAGAGGTCTCACATCAGAAGTCCGACTCAATAGTCATAAATACGCAGGAAAATCTAATAAAACCTCTTACTGATCATTCAAGATCAAAGGTATCCAAGCCTAAGAAGAAGTCTGAAAACCATTTTTTTGTGGATGTAACAACTTCAGGAAAGGACATCAGCCGTGGCAGAACTGGCACCCAGCCACCTGATGATCAGTCACCAGCTCTTGTACCATCTGGACCTGCTGGAAAAATGTTGGAAGATAAGATCTTGGATCAAACAGGTCAGGAAACTCAAAAAGATCATCAACTTCATACTAATTTACAAGAAGAGAGTATACATGTAAAAAGTGCAGTTGAACCTGCTAGTGTGGGTCAAACGATTCCTGTACATCTACAACACCAGAATGTGGCTGATGAGACAGACTCACCTAACCTTGTCTGCACAGAGGTGACAGAGTTATCTTGTGATACAGGGGAATTCCCAGAAGTTACAGATTTTGGTTTTTCTCCTTGTGCATCTGTATGCCAAGTGCCAGATAATGAAAATAATCAGAATGATATTGCTTCTCAATCAAAAGGGAATAACCCTATAGCTATTCATGGAGAAAGGAGTGGAGAAGAAAAGTGGTCAGAGGCTGATGGGCCAGATATTAAGATTAAAAATAATTATGACCCCAACCCAACTGTGATTCCAGGAGTGGAGATATCAGAGCTGAGCCTGAAGGATAAGGCTCCCCTAATGCACCAATCATTTGAAGAGAAACAGGTAGAGTCACCACAGGAACCATTGAAACAGAGAGAACTTCCCGAAGCTGTAGATGGGATGCGGGAAGATGCCACAAGAGTCCCTTCAGGTGCAACACACAGAATTACGAGGTACACTGAAGAATCATTACACAAGGCAAACTCTGCAATGGACTCACAGGCAGGTGGTGAGCTGATAAAGCCTGTCACCGAGTCTTTGAAACCTGCAGAAACTAAGCCGCAAACTGACACTAATCACATGGATGAAAAAACCCTTGAGAAAATACTAGACACAACACATTCTACTAGTCAAAGTTATCACACTGACATGAAATTAAATCATGTTAATGACAAAGTCTTTGAAAGCAAAGTCGATGGGCCCCAGCAGCCTTATAATGCACAAAAAAAGGACGTGTCTGTGAAAGATACCAGTGTAGTCAGCACGGTGTGTGAGGCAAGAGGGCCACAGTTGCTGGATGAGCCGTACAGAGTCATGGAGAATGTCCAAGAGCTGGACTCAGAATACAATGAAATGGAAAGAACTCCTTCTGTGCCAACTATCCACAGTGACCAAAGTAACGAATTGGGACTGTCAGTCGAATATGGGTCAGGCATTAAGGCTGAAATTCCCCCTGTTACTCCAATTGTAAATGGAGGAAGCCGGTCTGACTCCCAGATTGAAGTGAGGGAGAGCGCCTCCTGTCTCACTGACCTACCCAATGGTACAGAGGCGGCTTGTGCTGTTAAAAATAGGTCAGCAACTCTCCAGCAGTTCCAGATGAACAAGTGGCCTGTCTCCACTGACAAACATGCCGTTCTGTCCAGCTGGTTGGATGTGGAACAGAAGTTCACTAAGAAGACACAGAAGGGCATCAGCGGAACATTAAGATCTTCTATCAATGAATACAATCTTTTGGGCACCTCCAATGAGTTTGAGGGCTTTATAGATAACATTAAGAGGTTGGGCTCCCCATTCTCTCTTCCCCTAAAGAGACATGGTCAGCCTAAAGTACCCCTGCTTCATTTCACCCTGCCTGTGATTAAAGAAGAATATTTTGAGAAGCTTTTTAATCCTATGGATTTTGAGTTTGGAATGGGGAAGAACAAAGCCAAGATGGATCTGTGTCCTGGTGAGTTTGTTAAGCGACACAGCACTGATGCATATAGTAGCCTGAAGCCCAAACAGGTTAGTACAGATAGAACCAGCAAGCTTTTCCAGTTACTTCAGAACGATCAGAAGAGAGGCGACCAGGAGCAAGAAAACGAGATGAAACAGGAGCCTAAGAAAATGTCCTCACGTCTGAGGAGCAGCTCTATACTCTCTAGCCTTATGAACTCCTCCTCTGGGACAAAGAAGCCCAAAAGTAAAACGGACTCTGCCCTGAGCAGCCCAGTTTCGACTGGCGTGGTTTCAGATCCACTGATCTCAGTAACACAGACTATGGTAACGCTAACTCCACTGCCAAGTGCAGCCATTCAGCCCACTGTGCCTACTGCAGGGACAGAGGTAGTGCAGTGCCTCTCAGCATTTCCATCTCCCAAACCTCCAGAGCAACCTTCAAAGTATCTTCCACTGGAGGCAGAGGTTTGTACATAGGTTTTGCTTCTGTCTATCTCCTGTCAAGCTGGTAACAGTTTTTTATGATAGGCCCTTTCTGACACCTACATAACACATCCACAGGTTATGTATCATATTATAGCCTATGTGCTTATGAAGTTCAGACAAAGTATTACAGTTTACCATTTAAGTTTATGATGATGATTCACAACTATTCCAGATTAGCTTGTTGGACCATACAGATGAATGCAAAGCCAAGTATAACCATGTGAATACTGGTATGCAGGCAGGTCTTGACTGTCGTAAGTAATCCATTTCACAATCCCTTATGAAGTCACATTTAATGTAAATCAGATCCTATATCCTACAAGATACCTTATATAGCAAAAACACCTCAGTCAAAAATATACTACTACTGTAATTCGTACTAAAGAAGTTAAAGATAATATTTACTTACATAATTTACTTAAGCTGGCTTTAAGTCCAGAGCTGTCGGTATATGAAAATAAATGTCTGTTGTACAAATTGCACAAACTTTTGTATTTGGAAGCCTTGTTTTATTTTTAGTATGAATAAAAAATTGCTCCTCTCTATATGGGTTAACATAGGTGTTAATCCTCTTGTTCTCAATGGAAAGAACCCAAATGTTACTGCTGGCCTCCATGTGCCGAATCCAACTCCCCACGCAGTCTTCCTAATGACCATGCCTCTGTGAGACCATTAAGGCTGTTGTTTTTTTCCTTACTTGTTTAAATGATTAATTATTTAAGCTCAGCGATGATGTTGTCACTGTACAGTACCTCACCATCTTTCACTTTCAGCAATATGCTGAAACAAATGCTCACTGTTTCTATTACAGGTGACAGCTGTAGACAAATTCCACAAACGTCCCGGAAAGGTAGGTAACATGGATTTATAAATTACAGAATGAGGATCTGAACTTTGGATGGTGGCCAAAGTGCACTTTTGGGAAGGTGGTGGTGTATGCAGGGAGGGGTCTTAAGAGTTAGTTGGGCTAGTTCAGTAAAAAAAAGTCTGATATGCATTTTTTCATTAGTCAGCAGACTTGTGTTCATTTTTTTTGCTCTACCTTCATCTAAATTGCTCGCTTCAGGCGAGTGGGTGAGTTTAATGTCCTGCCCTTTATGCAGGCTTCTTGTGGAAGTAGTAATGCAATGTGCACAGGTCTTTTTGCACTTGGTAAGGTGGTGGTGATGTGCATTCCTTTTTGTGTGTACTACTGTGCTGGTAATGTGCACAGGTCTTTTTGTGGACATGCTGGTGGTAATGTGCGCAGGTCTTTTTGTGGACATGGTGGTGGTAATGTGCGCAGGTCTTTTTGTGGACATGGTGGTGGTAATGTGCGCAGGTCTTTTTGTGGACATGGTGGTGGTAATGTATGCAGGGCTTTTTGTGGACATGGTGGTGGTAATGTGTGCAGGTCTTTTTGTGGACATGGTGGTGGTACTGTAATGTGCGCAGGTCTTTTTGTGGACATGGTGGTGGTAATGTATGCAGGTCTTTTTGTGGACATGGTGGTGGTAATGTATGCAGGTCTTTTTGTGGACATGGTAAGGTGGTGGTGATGTGCACAGGTCTTTTTGTGTATATACTACTGTGGTGGTAATGTGCACAGATCATTTTGTGTATATACTATTTTGGTGGTAATGTGCACAGGTCTTTTTTTGGTTATATCACATGTCTAATAACATCTACCATTGTAATCTAGTGCTTCATATAAAGAGAAAACAGGTCAAAAGCAGAGGTGGAAAGTTCAGATCCAGAAAGTAGAAATCCAAGATTTTGTTTCAACCAACCAGTTGAGTACTCTGTGAATGTCACTCTTTGTGCTCAACTGGTTGGTTGAAACAAAATCTTGGTCTGGAATTGTACTTTCTGAACTTAAACTTTCCACCTCTGGTCCAAAGCTGTAGTCTGAGGCATGCTTTAGGATAGTTTAGCAAGGATGTAGCATGATATCTACTGATGTTAAATCCGCAGATATTTCCTTTTCCTGTCTCCATAGATTGTCATTCATGAGAAAGCGCATTTCACTGGTAAATCATTTGAGATCTTTAGAGACGTGGTGGATGCTTCATCACTAAATCTGTCATCAGTCATTTCTGTCAGAGTGGTCAGAGGATGGTGAGTCAGAAAAATTGTTGTTACCAGCCAGACGCTCTGAACATTAATCCCACGCATTTCTCTTACAAATTTCAGTGCATCTTCATAAGCACTTTTCTGAAAATCAGAAAATCAGAGCCAATCAGTATAATTTGTAATTCTTAGTGCTTTTAAAGGTTCAGTGCTGGCTTCTTTGTTGCTGAAATCACCAGGTTCCCTTTTTTGTAGCTGGATGTTGTATGAGAAGCCTGGCTTTGGGGGGCGCTCAATCGCCCTGGAGGAGGAGCCTATTGAGTTGCTTTACCTGTGGGCCGAAGAAGGGGCGTCCCATGCACCATGTCTGCAGTCGACTCCAGTCCCCCCTGTCATTGGTTCAATCCAGTTGGTTATCAGGGTGAGCTCTGACCTCTTATACCCAGATCTCTTTCTTGTTTCTCTCTGCCCATCCCTGTTCTGAGATTAATCATTTGCAGGTTATATTAATTATTTTTCTTCCCCCTGGCTTTTGTAATCAGACCCCTCCAGTCTATGTCAGGGATTGCATTTGGCCTTGCTTGGTGTTTTCTTGCAGAAAATTTACTGTCAGTCCGCTTTTGATTTTCTGTGTCATCATCATTTGAATTGTACTTCCAGTCCACTTCTCTGTCACCAAATGAGGCTTTTAAGCATGACTATTTCATCTCCAAGCCTGTATCAGCTGAAGGCCAGCAGTGTTTTAATGTGTTTCTCTGGCTCTTCAGGATTACAGGCCAGCACACATTGACCTGTTCACAGAGCCTGCAGGTTTAGGGAGGCCGTCATCCTATTTTGACAACACCCCTGATATCTGCGCTCTCAGGATTCAACCAAGCACAGCATCCATAACAGTTCATTCTGGCATGTAAGTTTGTACGTTACTGGACTATATTGCACTTATGACTGTCAAAGACTTCAATATCAACCATGCTTTCAGCAGTGCGTGTTTCTGTCTTTCTTCTGATTTTCAGGTGACAAATTAGGCTTCAGTTCAAGTTCAACATGTTTGTTGGCAGATTTTTAATTTTTTTTATTTTTTACTCTGGAATGCATTTTAAAAATGGGCGAGCCCTAATGTATTATGTTAGTCCTTGTTGTGTGGAATGACCGTGCAAGATTGTTGTTGATGTAAATCAGAAAATGACTGTGCAAGAGGGTGAGGGTGACTCAGAGATGCATCTCACAGCCGGAGTGGTTTCCCTCCGGTGGTGTTGCTGTGTTTTGCCTCTCCCTGGAATGCCAGCTCAATTAGTCACGTTACACAACATTTTTATTATTGTTTTCTTGTGCCAAACCTGTGTTGTGATGATGCATTTTAATTGAGTAGACAACAGCACCCAGTTGAAGCACTGTACAGTGCAGCAGGTAGTGTAGAAGTGAAGGACATGGGTTCAACTGAAAGATACTCATCCACTCTATAGCAAGTTATACAATAACTGTCTCCTGATCCCACCTCCACTGTGTGTGTGTGTGTGTGTGTGTGTGTGTGTGTGTGTGTGTGTGCGTGTGCGTGTGTGTGCTCGTGCATGCACGTACGTGCGTGCATGTCTGCGTGTAATGGTGAAGTTCATATTACCTTTCCATATTACACGGGTTGGCAAAGATGTGCAGTTATGCTAAATATGCCGTAATGTATGATTGTGTATGTGACTTTTAATAGACTGGCAGCCTTGTTCCTAGTGGGGGCAGAATTCAAAAAGGCATCAGTCAATATATACATCAATTATAATATAAAGATCAATATATACTAGGGTGTCCCAAAAAAAATAATTAAAAAAAAAAATCGAAGTGACACCCCCTAAAAAGTTTCCTTTTGGTAAGTTGTACTCACATATAAAATTTCAGCTCAATCGGACTTCATTTAGAGGTGGCACAAGAGCTGCAAAGATTCGTAAAATACCGCTAAAATTGATATAATTCGCAATGTTTGTGACCTTATAAGTTTTTATTTCAGTAACAAGGTGAAACTCACAAATACATTTACAGTGCATTGTAACAAAGTAAGGCAATTTAATTAAACTTAATTAAAACAAAATGACATCACTTCTGCTTCTTTAATGCTGAACGCTGATCACTGTAATCACTCAGTGTGACAAACTGGCAAATTACATAAGTAACACAGAACAGAAGTCACTAGTAGTAGCCTAGTCACTAGTCAGATTACATGCTGTGCAGTTCACTTAGGTTACACTGCTGAAAGGTACGTCTATGCTGTTCAACAACTTGAAGCATGTACTGCTTTTGTGTTTCGACGAAAATTGCCTTACTTTGTTACAATGCACTGTAAATGTATTTGTGAGTTTCACCTTGTTACTGAAATAAAAACTTATAAGGTCACGAACATTGCGAATTATATCAATTTTAGCGGTATTTTACGAATCTTTGCAGATCTTGTGCCACCTCTAAATGAAGTCCGATTGAGCTGAAATTTTATATGTGAGTAAAACTTACCAAAAGGAAACTTTTTAGGGGGTGTCACTTCGATTTTTTTTTTTATTATTTTTTTTGGGACACCCTAATATATACATCAATTTATTTTTTCGTTATGATCTGTTTAACACAGCTGAGTGACACATTTGTTGTTTTTGACACAGGTGATACATGTTAACATCTTACAGAGCCTAACTCTCTTTCCAGCTGGTTGGTCTACAGTGAGGCAAGATATGCTGGTCAATTGGCCGTGCTGGAACCGGGCCAGTACCCCAATTCCGAGTCCTGGGGCTTCCCGGCACCCTGTGTCGGTTCCATACGACCACTCCGAATGGTGCGTTCACCTTTCAGGCTGCTCTTCACTCGCAGGATTTACATTTACATTTTTTTTTAAGCATACGATTTTGTCCAAAATGACAATCAAGCGAAGCAAATAGCATAATGCTAGCATACGGCTGTGGCGGGGCTGACTGGGTATAAATGCTTCTAATGAAAGCTCAGGTACAAGTGTAAGTAGCATTGGAGCAGGAGCTATACAGCGTGTTGCAAGACAAAATAAGAACCTGATAAGGCTACTATTGAAATAGGTCAAATAAGATGCATGCAACATTAAGAGCATTCAGGGAGCATGGGGTCGTATCAGGCTGGAAGAGGTATTCCTGGAACAGTTGTGTCTGCAGGCGTTTCCTGAAGGTGTAGAAGGAATCTGATGACGCCAAGCGGTTCAGCAACTCATTCCACCATCTGGGAACCAAACTAAATGGCTCTTGCTTAGGTGGCTTAGGACTGCCTTTCTTACTCCCTCCTCTAAAGGCTTTTAGCTGTCTGTTCATTTTAATATGTTTTATAATGTATATGAAGTGCAAGCAGAGTCTGTGGCCACTCTAATGAAGTTACCATGCTTTTCCCAAACATTACTTCTCCACCAAAAGGCTGTTTTTCCAGTCTGGCCACTTTCTGGGTTATGAAATGTTTTCTGGCAAGAAGGTCAGAGGCTGTGTTTTCGAAACTTTAGTGTTCATGAATATGTGTTAAATATATTTCCTTAAAACCTTCCTGTAAATTTTAGTAAATAAGAGTCAGGTGTCTGACAGTCTTGTCAGTAAGGAATTACAGGTAATGTTTTACATAACTGCACCTTCATGATGCATTCATAGAAAATTCATAAGTAGCATGTACCTTACCATCCTTAGTAGGTTTAATATACATTAATAACAAACATTATATGAAAATAACAAACATTATAATTGTGTAATGTTTGTTATTAATGTATATTTAATCTGATAAGGCATGTTAGGGTGTTATACTTACATGCTGCTTATGTTTGCATTATGAAGATGCACTGAATGTTTTATGAATGCATAATAAATGCATTATGAATGTGCAGTTAATGTAAAACATTACCAAATTAAAATACCCCTAATAATTCCTTTAATATGGTGATAAATCTTTTATTGTTCCATCTTCTAGGGTGGACTGAAGGTTGAGAACCCAAATGAAGTAAAGGTTGGTGGAACTCTTGATTAACATTAAGAAAAGGCCTAAAATTTTGGAAAATACAGTCAGGGTGGAAATCATTTGAGTGTGAGATTGTAGTGGGATTTTGCATTCTAAGATGATCAAAGGTGGATAGTTCAGGTCCCAAAAGTAAAAATCCAGACCAAGATTTTGTTTCAACCAAACAATTTAGTATAAAGACTCACAGTCAGAGAGTACTCAACTGGTTGGTTGAAACAAAATCTTGGTCTGGATTTTTACTTCTTGGACCTGAACTATCTACCTCAGATAGTGAAGTTTTATGTGCCTAATTTGAGTAATATGTACTAATAAGATACTGCTTTCAGTTTTTTTTAAAAATTTGTCTCCATGTTCTCCTTGTTTTATGTGGGTCTTCTCATGATATGCAGTTACATGAATTTGGCATCTAGAAATTGCCCGTATTATGTGAATGTGTGCTTGTACGTAGCCTGTGATTGGCTGGCTTCTCATTCAGGGTGTATCCCTGATTTGCGTCTGATGCTGCTTGTGGTAAGTATCACAATTACTATGACTCCCTACTGGGAGCTGGATGAATGTACAAAAATATCTTTAAAGTACGTTGCAGACAGAGGGACTGGCATCGCAAAGGACTCTTTCTACCAAACATTTTCTAAAACCTAAATAGTATCTACATACAAAATCTAAGCAACCATCTTTTTGATGCAACAATATTTTATCACTACGGTCTCAGGTCAATGGATTTTATGGCTATTTTTTACCGATCGCTCAGTTGTTCCTGTGCTCCTTCAGGCCCTGGTGTATGAGAAGGCAGGCTTTGAAGGACCTTTCATGGAGCTGGAAGGGAATGTTTTCAGTTTTGGAGAGAAAGCAGGGAAAAAACTTTATGGGAAGGCTAAGAGCTCAGTCTCCCATGGCAGCAAGATAAAAGCTGTGGGCTCAGTGAAAATTCTTGGAGGACTGTAAGTCATGCTCCATTAATCCTCCGTCAGCTCTGATGGGTCTGCTGTACGACGTTTTAATGTGTTTGAATATATGTAACAGCTTTAGAATGGTTCTCTAATCTATGCTTTCCTCATTTCCCTGCCATGTTTGTTGTGTAGCTGGGTTGGTTATGAGGAGCCTGGATTTGAGGGCAGGCAGCACGTCCTGGAAGAGGGAGAGTACGTGGACTGGACTGACTGGGGAGGCACTGGAGAGCAGCTCCTTTCCATCCGACCTGTGATAGCTGTAAGTATGCACCAGTCTTAACGTGGTCCAATACAGGTCATTCAGGGCCGGCCCAACCCTTTTTGGGGCCCTAAGCAAAAGTTTATTAACTCAGTTGTCATTTGTCATCTTCCCCTCCTGAGAGCCTGATCAGATGGTGGCCACTGGGCCCAAAGCAATTACTTAGTTCACATACCCCTTGGGACAACCTTGATTCCATTCACTGCATATAAAACACCTTTGCCAAAACTCTGTTGTTAATACATGTAATTTTATTGTTTGAAATTGTCCCTAAATCAGTATAGTAACTCAGCATTAGTTTTACTTATTAGTTATTAAGTGGAGATCATGGAGCAGGGTCTGCCAGCATTCTGAGAGCTGCTGGGGTTAAGGCCCTTGCTCAAGGGCTCAGCACTGATACTGTATGATTACTCTGCTTGCCGCAGGACTTGAATTCCCAACCTTACAGACACCAGCATACTGCTCTGAACTGCTGAGCCACACACCCAAATCCTCATTGTGTTACTATCTCTACACACTGGATGATTATATCAGTTCGAAGCACTTTGCAAGCTCTGATGTGCTACTTAAATGTTAGGTTTTTACAGGTTTGCTCCACAAGTTAGGATTACTAACAGACAATTCTTATATGTGGTGCTGGAATTTGAGAATATTCAGCACCGCCTCTTGCAGTACAGGGTTTATTGTGCATTGGAATAAAAACAGACTTGAAGAACGTGTCTAGGGTCTGAGTGCTCACATCAGACACATTTTGTTTTCCACTACAGAACTTCCTGTCCCCATATGTAAAGATGTACAGCGAGACAGACTGTGATCAAGGAATCAGTGCGGATCTTTTTGAGCCCATCACCAGCCTCGAGAAAATGGGTTATGGAGTGAAGACACAGTCCATCGAGGTGCTTGGGGGCGTGTAAGTGAACATCATGCTGATTGCAGTGGAAGAGTGCACTGTTCTCATTGCTGTCCTCCAGGTCTCGCTCTCAGCTTCTTCCTTTCTTTCTCTTCTGTTATGCCCTCTTTGTTTTGCTCTCTCACAACTCGTTAATGTATCACATGCCTTTTGCAAGACTGTGGAATTAGCTGTTGTGTAAGGACGCTGTCTGCTGGCAATCCGTACAACATGTCTAATGTGGACGTGCTGAAGCTGACCTTCCCCTTCGTACAGTGAAGCACGGGCAGCTTTAGCTGGTGCGTTGTGGGGGTGGCCAAGCCCGCATGAGCAAATCTGAACTTGCCCCTTTTCTCTACCGTCTTAATAGTTTTTTTTTCCCAATAAATGTGACCTATCCCACACCCAGGGTCCCAGGTCGCAGACGTTAGGGCGTGGCTGAGTGGGAGTCATTACCTTTCTCAGATGTTACTCTTTCACCTGTATGAAAGCAGGGCATTCCTGACTTTCTATTGAAATTATAATGACACTTTATTGATCCCCATGGGGAAATCCTCTTTTTGCCGACTCCATCTTGCCTTCCAGGACAGGCATATAGCTGAGAGCGAGCTTGGCAGTCATCTGCCGCAGCGCCCATGGAGTCGGTGGTTAAGGGCCTTGCTCAAAGGTTCACGAACATGTGACTATTTTGCCAAAGCTAGGTTCAAACCGGTGACCTTCCGACGACGAGCACAGAGACTTCGCCCACTGGGACCCTCCTTTTGCATTTTATATTTCCCCTTAGTTTACATGACAACACTCCCACAGCCTTCTCTAATCTCAGCTCTTAGTTTTGTTGACTCTGAGTCTTACTTCTTATCTAGTCCTTAAATGGGTAGAAACTCCTTTGCTCAGGGATGATAATCTTGTGGGAACCAAAGCATTTATTTGCCAGCCTGTAAGTAAGTGATTATCTGTTGGGTGTGTTTGACAAGACATTGACATCCCCCCCCCCTTGTTATCTCTGAAGCTGGGTGGCATTTGAGGAACCAGGTTTTTCTGGAGACATGTATGTGCTTGAGAAGGGTCTCTATGGAAATCCAGAAGACTGGGGAGCCCAGAGCACACAAATCCTATCTATACAGCCTGTGGTCCAGGTAAACATCATGCATGTTCTCGTGATTACATCAAAGAAACGGCAGAATACCTTTGCTTCAGTAAAACACAAGTTTCTCTACAATAACTTTTCACACAAAGGTGCTTGAAAACTTGATCTATTATATTTAATTAAAGTAGCTTTTAATGATCTCATTTATGCAATTAATGAAGTGTCTCGCTGACAGTATGTTGCACCTGGTTTCTCTGACTATGTGACGCTGAGGACAGGTATTCTTGTTATCTTCAATGATATTTTCATGTTTTTCTTTGTCCATTTTAGAACATTGTGGGTAAAACTGCTACATTTAAGGTATGTACCCCTGCTGTTAAAGCTGCAGTTTGAGTGCCTGCTGCTGTCACATCATTTTGTCACATCATGCACCATCACACTGCAAATAATCATTTAAATCCTTTTGTACTATTTCATTCCATTGGCTGTTCCAGCTGCAGCTGTTTTCCAAGCCTGGCTTCAAAGGTACCGTCCGATTTCTTGAGGGGAGTGTTTCTGAACTACCCGGGGATGCCTCTTTGGGCTCCTGCAGAGTGCTGGCTGGCAGGTAGGTCACTCAGGCAGGTAATTCACACACCTTGCAGAGTTCATGCATATGTTACTACCCACTCCTCAGCTGAACTCTTTATACAGGGAGTTCTTGACTGACATGACTGATCTGTTCCACAAACCCTTACATAAGTCAGATTTTATGTAAGTTGGATTTACCTTCTCATATCATTCAAGAAATCTTATAGCCAGTGGTTGAGTTGTAAAAATATTTCATATTTCATAGGGTTGATTCTACCTAACGCCAGAATCAACACTTTAACTGTTTTAATCCTATTTTTGTATGTTAGTTAATACAGAAATTTTCCTGAAATTGCCGGTAGCTACAGAATGTCTTTGCAACAGAATCCCAGCTGGAAAAGCCCTAAATGCTTAATGTTAGCTGTCTTACTTTCTGTTTCCTTCTTTTTAAAATACGATCACCGTCTCTCTGCTGCTGTGTATTATTTCCCTTGGCCTTGATTGTGTCAGCAGCTTCCATTGACTAACATACAGCATGCATTTTCTGAGTAATGACACATGCAGAACTAAAGTGAGGAAGCACAACCCAGATGCAGCTTTTAGCGCTTAACAACCCCACATAAGGAAGCTTTATTTAGGACAGGGCACAGGTTCAGGAGTGCAAACTACTGACAATGACCAGACTGGGGAACACAGGACTGCGGAGAGCTTAAATACACAATTATCAGGGGGCAGCTGAGAGTGATTAATATGTGGCAGGAATGAGAGGGAAATTGTACAAGCATGTGCCTGGCTCTCACAGCCAGACTGGGGAGGAAATCACGAGGGTGTGGCAGACTGGATGGGCAGGACATGACAGATAGATTGCTTACTCATTTGTTTAAATAAGGAGAACTTCAAGAAAGAGTAGTGGCTAATGCTGAACGGTTTGTGGGAAATATTGTGATTTTTATGACATATTGCGATTAGGATTTGATTTGCAATATTTTTTATAGATTTTGTACAGGTTTTAATGGACCTGTATCGCGTAGCAGGGTGAAAAGATTATGGCAGCGGTGAGATGAGTCTAATGATGGATGTTATCCTTGGATTTGCTTTTAGGTTATTTTTGATTGGTGAGAATAACTGCCACATAAGGAGGACGGCATGAATTTGTATAATGATTTTCACTACAGTTTTAAGCCTTGAGTCAGACGTTCTGTATTATGCATGTCCTAAATCGCAGCCTTTGGGATTTGCTAATCGCTTTGTTTCAAATCGCGATTTTGATTTGTAATCGATAAATCGTTCAGCCCTTGTAGTGACATTGAAACCTGGATTAGGCTAGAATTAAAACTATTATTTAGTTGGTAGTGTTACATTCATTATCATTGTCATTATTGCTCAGAAGCAGTATTGCACAGAATCATAACATCGCAATACCTGCGGTGTCTAGGGTCTGAGTGCTCACATCAGACACATTTTGTTTTCTACTACAGAACTTCCTGTCCCCATATGTAAAGATGTAGAGGTATTGCTATTACTGCACATAGTGGATATAGAAACATTGATGGTGCCCATGTACTGGTGGAAACAGAAGGTCAGGAGTGTGGCAATATCTCCAGGGCAGAGTTCAGAACCCTAATGGCTTTAGGGTAGAAACTGCTCATAAACCTGAAAGTACAGGTTTTAATGGACCTGTATCGCGTAGCAGGGTGAAAAGATAATGGCAGGGGTGAGATGAGTCTAATGATGGCTGTTGGCCAACAAAGACACCTGATGTTGTAGATGCTCTGTAGTAAAGGCAGCTGCGTGTTGATGGTTTTCAGGGCTGATTTGATGATTCTCTGCAAAGTCTTATCAGCCACTGAGCAGCTGGCGCGCCGTACTGAGGTGCCCCAGGTGAGTATGATCTCTATGCAACCGTGACAGAAGGACACCAGAAGCTGTGCAGACAGGTTGACTTTTCTCGGTGTCCTTAGGAAATAGAGCCGCTTCTGTGCCTTCTTCACCAGAAATGTGGTGTTAATTGTCCATGTGAGGTCCTCAGAGATGTGAGTGCCCAGGAGTTTGAGGCTGGACGCTCTCTCTACTTTATCTCCATTTATGTGTAATGGGATAGGGTCTTGCAAAGCTGATGATAAGCTTTTTGGTTTTTGAGGTGTTGAGTACTGGATTATTGTCAGAGCATAGTTCTGATTTGCTTGCAGACCTCCTCCCAGTAGGCAGACTCACTACCTTTTTGTGGTCTGGGCCACCACTGTGCTTTCATCTGCAGACTTGATGGTGTTTGTGCTATGGATTGGAATTCAGGCATGGATGTACAATATGTAAGGGAGAGGCCTTAGCACATAGCCTTGTGGAGCACCAGTGCTGAGTACCAGGGTAGAAGAGTGGTGGGTCCCTATCCTGACTGTCTGAGAGCGATTTGACAAAAAAATCATTTATCTACATGCATATTTGTTGATCGATACCCATGGAGGGGATAGTAGCCATGTGTATCTCAAGCCAGGCTTATAGCACAAAACACATAAGCCAAAAATATACTAGTAATAGATACTAAACAGCACATGAAATAAACAAAAAAGATAATTATGTAAATTTACTTACAGGCAAATGTTGCCTTTTTTGCATTAGTGCCTCCTTGAACTTGACATTTTTTGCGTAAGTCCAGATTTACTTCAGTCAGTTTTGCGTAAGTCGAGTGCTGCCTGTATTTGCGTCTGTTAATATAGTGGTTAGATAATGGACTACAATTCCCAGGTTGGGCCTCTTTCCTCTCGGGGTGTGGGGTGAGATGCCTCTCTAAGTTCGGTGCTTCTGTCTTTCTCAGCTGGCTGGGATTTGAAGGCCCAGGCTTCACCAGCAGCATGTATGTCCTGGAGGAGGGCGACTATCCCAGCCTTGGCGCCATCGGCTGCTTCTCAGCCGGCTCCTCCCTTCGCTCCTTCCAGACCACAGGCTTTGTGAGTATTGTGGTGAAGATGATTGTTTGAGGCAGAAACTTCTCACAATGACTAAGAGAACTTTCATTTTTGTGGTTGTCTTACATAACTCACAGGAGGTTAAGCAAAGGATGGCTATGAGCAATGAGGCAGTTTAAGGCTACGTTCACACTGCAGGACAAATGTGGCCCAAATCCGATTTTCTGCTCATACACTGTATGTGACTCAGATCGCATTTTTTCATGACAATGTGATCAGCACAAGTCACATGGGATCCGATTTTTTCAATTCCAATTTGGGCCACTTCAGTATGTGGTCATAAATCGGATACAGGTCTGATTTTTTGCAATGCAACCTCAGTCTGAACAGCGAAATCGGAATTCATGCGACTTTTACGTCACTCTCGATCGACGTTCGTCACAATTCTGCGCAGGCAGAAGTCACCATATGTCTCCGTCAGAGTGCCAAACATGGAGGAGAGCACAGAAGCTGGCCAGTGGAGGGACAGTGAGGTCCTGGATTTAATAAGTATTTGGGAAGATAAATCTGTAAAGGGCAAAACTGGAAGGCTCATATCATAACTGGGCAGTTTTCGAATCAATAAAGTGACGTCTTGGTTGTTTTGTGCGCACGCGGGCCAGTTCAGCATAGTGAACTGGCCACATTAAAAAGAGTAATATGAACAGGCAAACAAAAAATTCCGATCTGAGCAGGAAATCAGAATTGACCATTAAGCCCTGCAGTGTGAACGTAGCCTAAGGTTTCATAAGCCATGCTCTTTAGGTGGCCTAATGGTTAGGGAAGAGTTCTTGTGATTGAATGGTGCTGGTTTGAATTTCTGACCAGCAAGGTACGACTGAGGTACCCTAAGCAAGGTACTGTACTGCCACCACACGCTGCTGGGGTTAAATGCAGAGGACACATTTTGTTGTTGTGTGCTGTGGTCTATCAACAATGACATTTAATCACTTTTACTTTAACTGAACCCGATTTTAGGCATGTTAAGTTAATCCTCACTTAAATGCTGTTTAATGCAAATTCTAAAAGGCATTCAGTAAAAAATTGTCATTGAGATTAGGAAGAATTTCAGGTTCTGTTGATGTAAACAATAAGAATGCCTTGGGGCTTCTTTCTCTCTTCATTAGGAATTTTCTGTCCCCTCCATCACCCTCTTCACCAAACCTGGATTCCGGGGCAGGAAGGTGGTTCTCAATCATGGAACTGTGAACCTCCAGATGAATGGCTGTGACACCTGGGTCCAGTCCGTGCTTGTGGGTGGGGGACTGTGAGTACCATACAGTGCATAAGACACCTGCCTGATTGCTGAAAGGGCAGTTTTTGGGCTATTTAAATCTGTCAGCTGGCTCAGCAGCAAGTGGCTATAAACGCCCTGACTAAGCCTAAATCCATTTTTGATGTTTGCAGTAAATAGTACTCAGAGAGGCCTTTAAGGCTGACCGAGGGGAGAGCGACATGCATCCACCCTGCACGTTCTCCTCTTTGGTTCTCAGGTGGGTCTTGTATGAGGGAATTAGCTTCCGTGGCCGTCAGCTTCTTCTGAGGCCCGGCGAAGTAGCAGACTGGTACAAGTTCAGCAGCTGGCGGCAAATCGGGTCATTGCGTCCACTGATCCAGGTACCAACCCAGTGGGATTAACACAAACATGAGTCATTTACACTTCTCTTCAAAGACAGGTGTACTGCTCCTATGCATGTTTATTGCCTCTTCAAAGACAGGTGTACTGCACCTATGCATGTTTATTGCCTCCTCAAAGACAGGTGTACTGCACCTATGCATGTTTATTGCCTCCTCAAAGACAGGTGTACTGCACTTATGCATATTCATTGTCGCTTCCAAGATGAGTATACTTCACCTGTGTGTCTTCCATCAATTCAGAAATCAGTGTATTTTCGTCTGCTGAATAAGGAAACTGGGTTGTTAATGTCACTCACTGGATCACTGGATGACATCACACTGATGCGAGTTCAGGCGGCAGAAGACACAAACGGGGCTGAGCAGATCTGGGCCTATCAGTACGGCCTGCTGTTCTGCAAGGTACAGATTTAATGGTAACAAGATATATTGTTAGAATTAGGACATAATATCCGCAGTGGAGGGCCATGGTAGAGCTGTGGTCCCATATGACTTTCAAATCTCTCCGCATGACGCAGGTAGCTGAAAACTGTTGCTTGGAGACTTCTGGAGGCATGGTCATGGCTGGAAGCCGGCTCAGCATCTCCCCACAGCCTGGGAAGGACAGCCATTTCTGGACTGTTACTGCAGACGGGCTTGTCTATTGCGTCATGAGGCCAGATTTGGTGCTAGAGGTCAAAGGTCAGTACAGAAGATATATTCATTGTGAGTGAGACAAGCCATGTCTCAGTCAAATCATGATTCTGGCTGATGAAATGTTGGCTTGGGGATATTATTTAAGGATCAATGATTTCTATGTGTCATTGTGCCTTTGGGATACACATGTACAATGAAATTTAGCAACAGCCTCCGTAATGACATAAATAACTTTCATATACTGTATTTGTACATGCATAAATATTTACATAAACCACACAACAATCAAACATGGTGTAATATAAATACTCCTAAAAACTATAAACATATGGCATATACAGATGCTCCTTGCTGTACGATGGCTTGATTTATGGCATTCAGACTTTACAGTTGTGAGATGCACATTCAGTAGCCATCAAACTTTGAATTTGAATTTGAAGCAATATGGCATATGATACTTTCCTGTGATTCTGAGTGATGGCAGCCATGCTTTGCAGTCTCTGCAGCAATCGCCAGCATAAACATTCAATGTGTTTAAAACGTATCATACAGTGTTTTGTGTATGTGTGTACCTAGAAAGTATTCTTTTAAAGTGTAAAGTATAAACTCTGTACCTATAAAGTATTCTTTTATTGACTTTCTAATTACTGCTATTTGGTTTGGTACTGTAGTCATTTATTTACTTATTCAGTTACAGTAGTTATTTGCTAATTTATCCTATCATATTCATATTTGACTATTGATACTTTTTTACTTATGAGTTCATTTGAATGTTACCTCATCTTAAGTCAAGGAGCACCTGTATATTTATGAATCGTACTCAATTATGAATGAATAGCTTAGCCTGTCACACATGGCATATATACTTTGTTCGTGCAAAGTGCAGTGATAGTTGTGCAAAATAAAAAGGTCAGTCAATCAGTCACAGCAGCTCAGCAGGGGGCAGGGGGAGATAGGGTGCCAGGTGTAGTCGGCGGGGCTAGTGACTGCAGATGGAGTCCAGCATGGCAAAAGCTCTGTGATAGAAGCTGTTTCTGAGTATGACTAAGCAGGCATGTATTGCACATGTTGATGAACACCACCATGTGGCAGGATCCTGTTTTGCGTACTAGTTTTGCTAATGAGCGCCACCATGTGGCAGGATCCTATTTTATGTGGTGATTTTGCCAATAAGCGAATACTGCATCACACCAAAGCATTGCTTTATCACTGGAGACTGTTGACATATGATGTTCAGAAAGGTTCAGTGCAGACTTCATCCAAGTATTATTAACTTTAATTATGGACATTTGTTTTTCTTACAGGAGGACAACAGTATGATAAAGCTCAAGTGATTCTAAACACTTTTGACGAAAATAAGAAAAATCAAAGATGGTCTTTGGAGATCTTATGATATCATGAAAAAATATGTGTATGTAGTTAATCCACTGACTTGGAGCCCAAAGGTGTTACAGCTCAGTGGTGAATTCTAGAGTACAATTTAGAAAAAATAGCTGACTATATATGGACACCTATCACTTAAAGTAAATATAAATGGAATTTCCTATCTAGCAGATACTTTTATTCAAAATGATGTTAAGTGAGGCAAATAGCACATCATTAGTATATGCTGATTTCAGGCCAAATCCATGGCTATTTTGGCAACAGATACAATGAGGTTTCTAAAAATTTCTGTTTTGTATATATGAATGTCTAAACTTTTATTAACGTCACATGCATTTGAAGATTAAATATATGAAGCTGCTGGAAATACACATGTGGATTCTTTCTCTTCATTATTAATTATTAAGGGCATAAAGATTGTGACAGCTCTGTAACATCATCACACACATTACCAAAATGCAGAAAAGTGATGAGTCTGGACTACAAACACCATTCCAATTGTCATGTGCTTGATTAACACTGAATGCAGAGGGCTTCCAGGAACTGGTATGAAAACCATAATAGTGACTGAGACAGAATGGCAGCTGGATGGCACATGGGTACAAAGCAGAGACAAAGGATTTGGATTAGGCAGTGATGCCAGGGATTGTGGGGGATCACAGATCACCAAGCAAGAATGCCAAAACCTGCCCACTCAGACTAATCTTAAACAAAGAACGGACACATCAATTCACTACCACTGTGTTCACACTGGTTTTCACAAACCCGCGAATTATGCCGTTTTGTAGGTATTTGTTTCCAAACTAGGTGACAGTGTTCACACTGCTTCCTGTAGCCTCACACCAACTGAAATGCCACTGCAAAATGTCACATATTTGAAAATGAAATATGTGCAAAATATTTTTTATATGGAGCGATTTCCTTAACCCCACACAAAAGTTTAAAAAACATTACATGTTTAAAACAGCAAGAGTAAATAAGCTAGTGCTGTTGCCGTTCTTTGTCCAGTTGTTGGTTTAACTGCTGGTTCACATTTTAATGTTTTATTAAGTCAAGGAAAGTTATGCCACATACTGGGATTCTGCTTTAAGAGATAGCTGGCGGAGCTGGTCTGACAGGTTCCAGGTGTGGAGCAATGGAGGGAAAGGTCTTCCTTAGGCCTGGTCACGGACCCTGAGTCCTACACCGGTGGGTCATTGATTCACATTCACTTACAGTGATAGCACCATCTTCTGCATCTACCACGTGGCTGTCATGGTGCAAGACAGGTCCATTTATCAACTGAAGAAAGCAACCCCAGTCTGGACCAACTGTGCCAAGTCAAGTAAAGTCAAACCTCATTGTCACTTCAAAATACGCAGGCACACATTGAAATGAAATAGTATTTACCTAAGAAGAAATGGCCTTACACATAAGGCAACAAAGACAGTAATGAATAAATAAATAAACATCTTTCTGAGCTCCATCAAGAAGTTTTTTAATACTTTGATTGAAAGAGTTACATACGAAAAGTATGGCAGAACAAGTGTTCCTGCTTTCAGGGGATACAGGTCTCTCTGTTGTTAAAATCTTGTAACAGGATAAGGCAGTCAGCCGGCGTTCCGATCTCTAGCCGTCTCATGAGAGTCTTGCAGGCCAGAACCAACCCTCTGTGATTTCAAAATCACCTTAACGTTTTTCACCCTGCTCCCTCTCTTTGAATAGCCGGTCCAGAAATATAGGGCCAGAGCGCATCATACTCTCACCTGGTAGTGTAAAGGTTTGGTCAGAGGGCAGCACTGTAACTCCTCACTGTTTGTATGCAATGTATTACGACAGAATAATCAGAGGTTCCCAAATTAAAAAGTAAATACAGTTAGTGCTGAGATTGTCACAGCCTTTGTATCTTCTGCTCTGAATCAGACTCATTAATGCCTAAGAAGCTGAGATACAGGAGAATTTCCCAAGAAATGGAAGTGCTAGAGATGGTTCTTCATCTCACATCTTACATACATCCATTCAACCACTAAGCATTGTCTGGTAACGTGTCACGGGAAGCCATGCGTCTATCCCAAGCAGTGTAAAGCACAGGGTGACTCTGGATGGGATGGCATCTAAAATTTTATTATTTGTATTTTTCTCTCTTCCAAACTGCAATCAATGCCATAGGTGATGCAGTATAAATCTAAACCACCAGAGGGCCCTAAGTGGCTGCTCTCTCCGCTATGACATGGAGGCTGTCTGGGGTGACTCATGTGCCTGGGGGGCAGCGAGAACAATGGACCTGTTCAGCTTGGCAGAAGCTCTCACGGAGGTGTTCACACCATCTTTTATTCATTAACGTGCTGCATCAGCAGCCTCTCCGTGGCTCACTCGCTCAGTCAGGATGTTACACCATCACATCACCTGCCTATTAACAGCTACCAAAATACTCACAGGAAAAATCTATTCAGGTGCATCCATCTTCTGCTTGGTGCAACATGGCTTAAATGACAGCTTGGCCTTCCTTCTTCTCTGGAGTCTGTGGAGAGCCATGAGGAAACCTGACCCTGACCTAGAATGGAAATCTTTTAAAGTCAACTTGCAACACTCCAAAGCCAAGCTCAGCTTGTCTGCAATCTCCAGGAAGGGGAGAACTAAATATTTATCTCCAGCCCGTGGCTTCAGTAAGCCAAATCCGAGAGCCCAGATCAACAGACCAATTTAGATGTTTAACATGAGCCTAAAACACATACTTGAACACCTCAAATACACAAGTATGTCACAATCTAGTGTGAGACAATCCCAGTGCAGAGCCTCCTGTCCTGAATGAGTTAAAAACATGATTCAATGTCCACACAAAGACTTTAGAATCAAAGCAATGTTTGGTCTCACCTGTTAACATCTTAATAGTTTACATTTACATGAGAGCAATCTCTGTTAATACTGCTGGAATTTAAACACATGTACCTTTTGTCTGTCTGATGTGACAGATTGTATTCAAAGAATGAAGTCGTTGCGACATGGAATTTGCACTTTCAGAAACGTTCTTGTGTAGTTGCTTTAGAACCTGACACACCTGTCTGATGTGGGTTTCCTCATCCAGGCAATACATCAGTATGTTGTTCATGAATAGACATTGAGAAGGAAGGAAGCATGTCAGTAAGGACACGCATAGGCGTTAAAGGCAACACCAGAACTCAAAAGGCATAACCAAGTATTCAGAGTACTCAGTGGTATTTATATTTTACATTTGCATTTATTTCAACTCGTTGCAGTTTGGTAGCACTTTCCACCATCGAAGAACCACACGAGTAACATGTCGAACGGTGGAACCAGGCAGGCAAAGAGGATGACATGGGGTGCAGGTCTCCATGGTCATTTTGACAAAAAATGGTTGCTGTCCCGTTAGTAGGTCTTGAAAGCCAGGTTTGGGAATTGCAGTCTCAAATTGCAATTCCCAGCAGAATATAATGCACAAAGTAGAAAAAATATAGTGAACCTATCTCCTCTGCATTAAAGACGTCTTCCTCAAACACTGTCCCTGCAATGGCTCCCCTCCCACAGTCCCCGGCCAGCCAGTCCCTTCCTTGAGGCTGTCGGGAAACCTGACACCAGCCTCTTCCATTTTTTTCTGTTGTATGCACTATTTGCAGCAGGTACTTTACTTTACAAGCTTTTTTTTATTATCAGTCAAATGGCACTATAGTTATTCCACTGTCTGTGCTGCTACATTATTTATTGACGTTGTTTACATGCATCACTGCCCTATGTATGTACAACCTTTGGTCCAGCTCACTTGTTTTGTACTATCCTGTGTTTTTGCACTTTTAAACTTGTGAATCCCTCCCTTTATATGACACACTGTGGTCCTGGGGGAATGATGTTTCGTGCCACTCTACCTGTAAATGGAGAGTATGACAATTACGCCCATTTGACTTGACTGGACTTGATTTGAACTAATGAAGAGAGACAAGTAAGGGTGTAACCTACTGTAAGAGCATTTTGGCTGATGGAGTACCGTACATGCTGCTGTATTTTAAATCATATGGTTTGACAGCACAAGCATGCAGCCCTGTCAGTAAACAGCTGCAGTAGTCTAGGTGGTTGATGATGTGCTTGGACTAGCAGCTGAGCTGCATATTCAGACAAATAAGGCCTGCTGCTACGTGGTCAGCAAAGGATAGCTGGTCATCTGTCATTACTTCTTGGTTCCTGGCGGACCTTGATGGAGACAATGTTGGTTATCTAAGCTGTACAGCGATGTTGTGGAGGATGGTATGGATGGCAGGGATATCTGCATATCATTAACATAGTACAGGTAGGAGAAGACATGTAACTAGATGACTGGCCTAAGAGAGGTTATCTAAGGAGATAAGAGAAGGGGACCAAGGACTAAGCCTTGGGGGACACCTGTAATTCTTCTGATGTTGCTCAGACACCTCTGCTCCCCAAGACACTTGGCATGATCTCCCAGATAAATAAGAATCAAACCATTTCAGATAAGTTGAGAGAAAGCAGCTGGTAAAATCTGGTGATTCGCTGTGCCAAAAGCTATGGAATACTCTAGCAACATCAGGACAGATGACTAAGATGCAGGTCTGGTGGCTCACAGAGCATAAACCCCAATCAGGAGGGCAATCTCAGGCTAAGTGTCTGTGCCTGTGATCGGAACGTCCTTGAACAAGGCCCTGAATTCCCAGCTCAAGTGGCACTGCATGCTGACTGACCCTGCACTGTCACCCCCAAACTTGCTCTCACCAGTATACATGTCTGTGTGTCTCGTGAAGAGCATGATGGGGAAGACCGAAAGAGAATTTCCTCATGGAAACAATGAAGTATCATTATCCTATTCTGAAGCCAGACTGGAGAGACAGTGGTGGCCAATCTTATCCGCAAAGGGCTGGTGTGTATGCAGGTTTTTGGGATAACCTTTAGGTTGTATTTCCACAAACATTTATTAAACATTGCATATTTGTACCAAACAGTTAGGGAACGTATAGTAATGGATTTCATGATACTCAGGAGTTACAAAGTGTATAATTATTTCTGTTCCAGAAACAGAATTCCAAACTGATTAGAAAAGACCAAACCCAGGTGTAGTCAAAAGTAATCAATCAGGTGCACAAACAACCATCGGCGGGTCACTATTTCAATTGTCACATCATCACCATGTGACATATAAGGATTCAAAGCCACGTGGATGTGGATTAAAGCAGACAATCATGCCACACATTATAGCTATGTTTAATTTAAATTTAATACCTCCATTACAGTATGTATGTGGTGACATGGCCCTCCCAGTTACTACAGAAACCTTGATTCTGGGAGTCATTAAAACAGCTCAAAAAGAGCCATTTGTTCATTAGTGGGCCTTACATGGCATGATGCACGAAAGCAATATCTTCGGAAC